AATACTCTAAAAGCACCATTAGATTATGTTGCACTAAATCACTTTATATTAGGAGAAACAAGGAGAAAGAGAAAAATACAAAATTTAAAACTATTTGTAACTTACATATGTTTAATCGTAATTAAAGATAAAGCTTCATAATGCTGTTTTTATTCAACACATTAACCAGCTATAAAACACACACCTTTATCAATAGCAGTCAAAGAATTTCAGGATTCATAAATATATATAGACAATAAAGTCATGTAATATGAAAAGCCGTGTTTCGTTATGAAAAAGCTCTCAAGATGGTGGTAAAGCTAATCTAATTTTAAAAATATATAAATGTTCTGAAAAAAATAAATTTTCATCTCAATGATATAAATCAATACAAGTAGAGTTTTCTCTTAATCTGAACTGAACAGACATCACTACTATTTATTATTGCTATTGACCCCCTTCTCCACCTTCTTTTGAGTTAGAATAAAAATTCCTCTGGCTCTAAAATTTCCTCCTCTGTACTTTTTCCCAATGCCCCTCCCTTCACCCCCCTCCCATATGGTCAAGCTGGCTAGGATTTTACTCCAGTAGAAACACTTTTCCCAGTCATAGAATATTAGATGGAAGAAACATCTGCTGGATTTAAAACCAAGCTCCCTGGAATGACTCCTATACAGCAAAAGGATTCTCACCAGAGTCTAAGGCATTGACATACGGCTTAACTAAGTGATGTTTCAGTTTAAATAATCAAAATTCCTTTGACCTCCACTTCAGGGAAGACCTCTGCTTACTTTAGCCTCACTGTAATATTAGCCAGCTGTCAGACCAAGAAAGTAGACTCTCCAAGGGAAGGAATTTGTTAAAACTGACACTGAATAGCCAGGGAAACTAATAAACAAATACCAAGTGTGATGGACCCTTTCGGATGCTATCTCGCGGTCCCAAGTGAGGGGATGAGGACAGTGGCCTGCACGGTACTAACCGTGGATGTCCGGCGCCATGGTTTCATGGGGATAGTCTTCACTCTTCATGAACAGCAGGAGCTCCTCTCCCGGCGCAATGTCTGCGACTACTCTATAGAATATCTTCAAAGACAAAAAAAAAAAAATGGGTGGGATGGGAAAGAGAAAGAGAAGTGAATATTAACACAGAGCAAGATATACACTAAGATATCTGTACATTTTCTCATACCTTAACAAACATTTTTTTTAATCTTTATTTTTTACCAAAAGAAGTGTGACCTCCTATTTTATATACTGAAAATGAGCCCTCTGGTGACAAATGGAAAGCTGTGACTCTCAAGCCAGTTCACCAATCCTTCCCAAATCCTACTTCACAAATCAAATTTTCTTAGGGCAAGGCTAGCTGCATCGCAGAGACCCTGTGTAAAGTTTAACACAGAACTTTCACTTCTCTGGACTTTTCAAAGCCCCCTCGAGAACCACACGCATACTCACAGAGTTGAATCCTGCCTTGTGCCACTGAGCACATGCCTAGCTAACCTGGAGCCTACCCCTTTGAGCAGATTTGCAAAAGTCACACCTTCTCAATAAGGTGAAGTTTCGAAGGTGATAGGTTGGAAGGACGTGACATAAAAAAGAGTGACAGCAGGGTCTGTAGAGAACAGAGTCAAAGGAGAGTATTTTGTTTTTTAAAAATATACTCCCTCTCTCACCAATCAGATGAGTGCTCCAATACCCAGCTCCTGCCTTCAAGCCCCAGCTCCTGACCTTCACTCTTTGAAAACAGGAATCACACCTTTTATTGATTCATTTATCTGGGGATGGTGGAGGGTGCTTATCCCCCTTACTTTCTAGCAAAAGTGCTGAGGAGAGGAAGGATTTAATAAATCTGTTAATGACTGACTGAAAAGCAGCGGAGCAAGTGTGGAAAGAACCCTGACCTAAACTTTCCAAGAGCTGCCTACCTTTCCCTGAGCAGCATGCTGACTTAAGCAAAGTCACTGCCCAACTTACATGTCTAGTCTCCAAGGTAGTTTTCATTTACGAAAGCTTTTAAGCATGAAAATCTTTAGCATGTTTCTTCATTTTATCATAAAAATGTTCTTAGTTCTTCATTTTTTCTAAGATTATTTATTAAGCAATTCCATAACCAGATAGAAGATTTGTAAGAAAGAATGAAGCTGTAAGCTGTACAATTAACTGGTGAAAATGAGACCAATTACATTCCGCCACAGAAACTTTGCAAAACCCCACCGTACTCTGCAAAGATCATTCCTTTCTCTCATATCCACTTCTTTCTCTTTAACTTCACCAATGAAAGTGTTTCCTCCCAACCCCATACCAAGAATGTCCACAAACTGAATTTCAACCTCAGTGAGCCAAAAAATGCTCCAAATATCTGGCAAGACACACACACACCAAAAACAACAACAGCATAAAACAACATCAAAACTAGGGATTCAACTCTGCTCAGTCTCCATCCAATAAAGAGAAAAATCACATAACACAAATTGGTACATCTACTAAGAAATGGGAAGAATCTATTTGTACAAGATATTGCTGTTAACTATGGTTTTCTGCAGGATCACTTGATATTTCAAACTGAGAAGAGCTGAATAAATTGTCATATAAAATCAGCA